TCTAGCTCTAAAAGAGTGTTTTGTTATTTATTCCCCTGACTTCACCCATGCCGGGGTTTGGCTGGCACTAGTGGCATCAACTGGGTCTCTGTTATTTAGCTCCCTGACTAGGGCAATTTAAACTACTCACTATCTGGTTAGTGGGGACAGATGTAAACCATTTTCTCCTAAGTGTCCTTGGTTAGAGAAAACAGGACTTTGCAATTTATTCCCTGGCTGTTAATTTTTCTCAGCAGTTCGTTTAGCTATTTGCCTCAGTTTCCCCATCCCACTTGCCAAGGAATTTCCTAGCTTCTTACTAACCTGCTTCAGAAATACTGAACTCAGAGCTTTTAGTTGTTTTCTAACTATGGAATGAATCGTGAACTGTGTTACTTTTCCAGTGGCCATGTGTAACAGTACACAGAGTATTGGCAACTAGAAAAGCTCACCTGGGCCTTGGCCTCCAGAGTCTTTATTAGGATTCAATCTAGCGAACCACATTAACTGTCCACCTGGGTGGCATCAGTCTCCCCACCCTAAATCATCACATTGTTGGTGTTACTCAAAGTCCCCACCCTAAATCACATTGTTACTATCTGGCTATACCAATATCTTATTAATTTGAATTACAATGACTTTATGGTATATTTTGATATTTGGTGAGGCAAATTTCACCTTCTTGGTCTGTCATGTTACTTTCGTAACTACTCTCATATAAAACTTTCATAACTACTCTCCTTATAAAACTTGAATTCTATATTAGTTCAATTGCATTTAGTTACAAGCACCACATTGTTTATACTCCATGAGTTGAGTATAATTGCTGTATAAAAATATTCTCAAAGATTACATTACATTTTGCCACTGAAATGAAAAAGTTATTGTGAATGCATAAATTCATGGAAACAGCAGTGGAATACAAATTTGATATTAGTAAAATAAATTTTGTCATTAGAAGAATAATTTCTTTTTCCTATTTTCTTACAAAGCAACAATAGAGCTTTACAGAACTAAGAGAGAAAGCTATTCCCCAACCTCCACTCCATCCCCCTCACACGCACACAAATGAAGTCTATTATGTTTTGCTTCTAAGATGCATTCAAAAGGATTGTAATGGAATGGAAAAATTTGCCAAATCTCTTGATAGATAAAAGAAATTCCAAAGCAATGGGAGGTTAGTGTCATCAATTCATGTGTTTTGAAGAACTACCATTAAGATGTCAAACATCTATTTATCAAAACTTCCTGCTGGCTTTGAGCAGATGACAGTAGTGAAGCCTGCTTTAAGAAACGCTGCATTACCAGTGTTCCTAATAACCACATAATATTATTGTGTGACAAATCCGGAGATCAGTGACTTTGAGTCCAGAAAGATAGAGAAGATGTGAAGGTGTCTTAGGAACACCTTGACACGTTTATTTCACTTTTTTTTCTTTGAGGTGGGAACTACCCAGACTATTTAGATCAATCAGAATGTAGCAATGCCTTGGCCACAGTGATTAACCAATCACAATGAGGCTCTGAGTTTTGTTCGCTCGATAGTTTGACTGCCCCCAACCCCTTGCCGGATCTTGGAAGACACACTATGACCAAGAGGAACCAGCCTTAAAACTAAGCCAATGCATAGACTGCAGAACACAGTAGCTATCTCTGCTGATGACATTACTGAACTGCAGGATCACCTCAAAGCAGTTAGAGTTAGAATTCCTGTTCCTTGAAAATCAAAGCTTCCTGACTAAATGAAGTTTCAATAAACGTTAATGACTAGAGCAAATGATAATGAGTGAGGGCACTTGAGGAAATGCTGTTATTCCCAACCTGGGGCCAGAACAATCCCACCGTCCAGCCCCCAGTCAGTTGTTGATTCACCTGGTGAACCGTTGGTGGTTGTTTATTGAGGGCTCCCGAGATGAGACCCTAGAGGGTTTACTGTGAGGCACACTGAGGAAGCAGAGCACCTTTATGTACTATTTATACTCTTTAAAAATAAGAAAAATTGGAATTCAGGGATATCAACAAGTAGGAAGATATTTGGAGCTGACCTGTGCATGCTTACAAGGGAGGATCCAAAACAGCCCCCAGAATTATCTTCTGGAAGGCGGGCCCCTTGTAGTATAGGCTTCCTCTGCTAGGTGAGTGTTCTAGGAACCATCAGTGTGCCAGCTGGCGTTGTTGTGTGAAGCTGCATTCCACTTCAGTGAATTTTTTTAAAGACTCTTTCAATGCATTTGCTCATTTCATGATGGGTGATTTACAAGCACCCCTGCCCACACAGCACTGAGCGTTCAGCAGTTTTTGACCAAAAATGGCATGACCCCCATTCCCCACCCTTCCTATTTGCCCGATCTCACTGCGAGTGACGTTTTTTTTGTTTGTTTGTTTTCCTGGATGAAAAAAGTCCTCAAAGGGAAATGTTTTGCTAAGAAGTGAAACAAAACACAGCAGAAGCACTAAAAGGCATCAAAATCGACGAGTTCAAAAACTGTTTTGAGCGGTGGAAAAAAACGTCTGGATAGGTGTAATGCATCAAATGGAGAGTACTTTGAAGGTGACTGAAGTTTAAACATATAATAATAAATACACAATTTTATATAAATTCCAGGTTTGGGGGGCCCCCATATTTTCATGGTTCATACACATTTTTAGATATTGATTTGACTTTCACTCAGCCACAGAATGGGAATCTAGGCCTGAGAGAGTGAAGTCAAGCACTATTTCTACTTTTATTTTCACTTGCATACTAGCTCCTTCCTGAAATTTTCCCACAGAGCCCAGACACAAAGCAGAACCATCAGCTTAAAAAATCATGTCATACTACAGGCACAGATCACTGCTGAATGAGTAGAAGAAGCCAGCTGAATCTGGAGGTGGCTGTGATGCTGAAAGAATCCCGAGCACTTATCCACATCTACCTCTTGCTAGCAGTGTTTTCTGCCTGCCCTATGAGGTTTGTGAAGGACAGAAAAGTTTCCTAGCCCCTGTCAAGAGGGTAACATACCTAAATTACCTAAGTTGTCACAAAGCTCCCAGTCAACCTTAGTTCCTACCCCCCTCAAATTCAAAATCTAGGTTTTTCTATGGTCCTTACAACACCAAAATTACTTTTACCTTTAAAACTTGACAGATTATTTTTTTGTTTTTGTTTTTAATCCTTCAATTTGTAAGTAAGTTTTCCTGTGCCTATTTGCCCATAGTTTAGTCTTCTGGTCTGATGACTGCTTTTTAATTAATTTAGCCTGTGCCTTTTGGGAAAGACTGGGATTGTGTGTTAATTGAAGTCCAGAACTTTGGAATATTACAGAGGTAAAAATATAATCATGGCTTTTGAATTTTGTAATTATATCACAGCTGAAATCTCAGGAATCCTTCTACCCCAGGATCCTGCTACCGCTGACCCCTGAACTGTTCTGCCATTGACATCAGTCTCTGGGGATCCATACCCAAAGGAAACAACTTCCTGTTTTGTTCTAAGTAACCATTATTCCCTGCAACCTTCCTCACTGTTTACCAAACTTCCTATTTCAGGATAGAGAGAATGAGCCTTCTCCTCTTCCTTTCACAGGGTAAGGGGGAATGACACAGGAGCGAGAGAAGTCCTCTACATCAGGGGTCTCCAACCCCCTGGGCCATGGACTGGTACCAGTCTGTGGCCTGTTGGGAACTGGGTCACACAGCAGAAGGTGAGCGGTGGGCAGCAGTGAGTGAAGCTTCACTGGCATCGCTGTCTGAACTCTGCCTCCTGTCCTCCTTCCCCACATCAGTCCCTGGTGCTCAAAATTTGGGGAACATTGCTCTGAGTCTGAAGGGTAAATTGCCTTCTTATGACTGTGCCCATATTGTATCAAATTGTCAATATACCAAATACCTTTGGGTCTTCAGATCAAATACCTGGTGGTATAAGAAGCCTACATGATCATTCAAGCTTAACCCTCTCACCCATAATCTAGAAACAACCTCTGTTTCACCACACTTCCCAAGTACATCTGCATGCTGGCCTTAGGCCAGCCTCTGGGGTCCCAAATGTGAAGCAAAGGATCTCACAGTCTGGTTAAGGAGAGACCTCTTGAATAGACTCTGTAGGTCCACAAGTTTAAAAGGAACCTGGAGACAGAGTGGGAGTTCAGGGAGGTAGATCAGGGAAGCTTTTGGGCTGGTGCACCAGTAGGTTGTTCCCAGGGAGTGGGAGAAGAGCTTTGTAGACAGATGGCCACCTCTGACTAGTGGAGGTGTCAGCCCTGCTCTACTACTTCATTGTACACTGCCCTATGACTGATCAAACCGTTGTCCCAGTGATATTTTAAGTGTTGTATTATGAATCAGTTCTACCTATTTCCGAAAAGGTGTTCTCTCAATCACCTATTTTTATAAAACAGTGTGGATGCAATATATGAGTAAATTATGAATGAATGGGTGGATAGGTGGGGGCCAAACTAGACCACGGTTACTCAAAATCTGAGAGAAGTGGTCAACATCCCAGGAGCCAGTGCTCCTGGCCACCCCTCACCACTGTCTGCCCATTGACTAACATTTTGGGATGAAAGGGAAGGTGGGATGGGGTCAGAGAATGGCAATTCTGAAGCCATTCCTAAATATCGAATGCATTGGTTTTAAGGATTCCTCCTACTGATAACCCCCTGCTCCCCCCACAAAAATAGACATCAAAAAACTGCTCTGAGGACTGAAAGGTGACCGCCTTCAGCTACAGGACAGGTGTGTCCAGATCCAATTACGTGAGTCCTTTTGCTCTGTAAACAGCCTCTAAAGTTAAGAATCAGAAGTCTAGGGTCACCATTCGCGAAGGACTGAACGAAGCTACAAGTGTGAGAGCGATGGACCGCATTTGAACTATCCTTAGGCCCTTAGAGCCTCGGAGAGGCTGGATCGCTTCCTGCACCACCAGCCACAGCACCAAAGAACTGCGGTGGGCCCTGAGCCAGAGCTCCTCCCACCGGGCGCGGGTAGGGGGCAGGTCACGTGGGAGCGACGCGACTCCCGCGCAGGCGTGGACCTGCGCGGGCTCTGGATCCACCCCTGTACCCATGGGGCTGGAGAGAATTAGAGGTTCGGTTCCCGTGCCTCACGCACTAGAGAAAGCGGGCGGGAGGGAAGCACAACCTGGACGTGTTACACACTGGGCTCTGCGAGGCACGTGACCTCCGCGAAGGTGGGCTCCGCCTCCGCGCAGGTGAGGAAACTGAGGCAAAGCTGGGTCGGCGGTGCGCGGATTGATTAGCAGCGGGTTTATTTTGTCCACCTGTCGGTCGGGTCCACAGCAGAGAGAGGAAACCGCTTCCGAACCCGCAGGGCGCTGCCGCGCCTGCCCGGAACCGAGGTAGCCCCAATCTCTTCCAGAGGACGACGCCTCCTCTTGGCTCCGCGGCGCTGATCCGCCCGCCCGAAGCGCCCTGCGGTCAGTGGAAAAACCCAGTGTTTGGGGTCAGAGACCCGGAGCTGGGACCGGCGCCTCTGACTCGCAAGGAACCCCCGTCTGTCTACCCCGCCAGGCTTTGAGCAGGGCATGTGGCACTGACATCCTTGAACTTCCGAGACAAAGAGCTGAGGAAAGGGCTTTGCCTTGGCGCGTAGGTCCCTTGGGGGCCGAGCCCGGGATGGGTCTGCGGGGCTGCCAGGGGTTCTCAAGCAGAACGGCTTGGAGGTGAGCGGGTGTAGCCTGAGGGACCTGGCGACCTCTTCTCTGTATTTGCATAGCGTCATGTGTTTTATGGGCCCATGGTATCTAGCTTTTTCAGAACCTCATAGGCACCTGTTTATCTCCTTTCCCAACAGGTTATAAACTCCTGACACAATTGGAAAGAGCCCAGGTAAACATTTTAAAACACTAGGCTGAAGTCTGGGAATGAAAAGCCAAACAAGGCACCAATCCTCGAGGTTCTTGTAGGGGCCGGGAGGTGAAGGAGATGAAGATGATTAAGACCTAGTCTGAAAGGGACTGTGGGGATGCACACCCATACCGTCCAAAAGCCAAACTGGGTCGGGCCCATCTGATTCTGAGCCTCTTTTCTTTACCACACTATCCTCTTTCCATAGCTCAATTACCTAGACCTCAGTTTAGTTACCGTTTTTTTTTTTTTTCAATTTTAATGTATTTTCCTTTGATCTTGGCAGATGAATAAAAAAGGTGAATAATTATTTAGGATTTATTTTGAAAAGCATTGTCCGAGAGCCAGCCTATATAGTCTTGGATGCTCCTGCTGTGGCCCAGCCTTGGAGACTGAGAATTGGGATTCAAAATGTGAACCCTGACTCCTTGAAACTTGCCCAGTCATCAGAAACCCTTCATTTTCTGTACAAACAGGATTTTAGGGGCAGTTGTTGACTAATCCAGAAAGTAGTAAGAATTATACCTCACATCAACGTCACTCTTTGAAAGGTAGCTTGCAAAGCACCACCTATGCATTTAGTCCTTTGATTCTTACCTGTTGTTAGGAGGCTGTGCAAACCAGGGGCAGATGAGCAGATATTTGGGAGGGTGGTCTCTGTAGCTTCAGGATCACTGATCAGAGAAAAGGACTACTAGCCCCCACATTCCTCCCTCACCCACAGCAGTGTCTAAGAGTTTCTCAGTAGCTTATTATGTTCCCTTATTCTGATTTCAGCATCTGTTCAACAAGTTCTGAATCTGGCCTCTGAGAGGCAGGCTGGGCCAGAGCTAGGCAGCTCATTGCAAATGGCTTCTATGATAGTTAATGACAAGGGTGGGTGGGGGCATATTCCCTAGTGCTCTTGGGGCCCTGGGTGTCTGTCACCAGGCTGCTTAACTGGCATTTTCAAGCCTGTGTTGTCAGCATTAAGAATTAACAGGACCTTTGTTTCTGTGGGTCAGAGAGATGCATAATGGCTTCTCAGCTGAAAATGGACAAGGTGACCCTAATGAAAACATTTGGCTTTGGATTATACAAAGAATTGGGTTTAGAAAGGCTGGTGCTCTTTCTAGCCACTAGATTCCCAGACACTGTTCAGGAGTAATTTTGCTTTCAGCATTCTTCAGGTCAGGGAGTAGACTTCAGAGCCTGTAGGCCCGCCCACCTTCCTGAGCCCTGACCTTCCACACTGTTCTAGCCTCTGCAGGAGTGTCCAGTGCAGGACAAATAATCATAGGCTAGGAGTTGGGGGACCTGGCACAGTCATGGACCAGCTCTCTTCCATGTGACCCTGAACTAGCTAGCCTCTTCTCTGTGCCTTCGTTTCCTTATTTACTCAGTTGAAGAAGGGGCTGAACTACAGCTCTGAGGGTAGGAGAGGGGAACAGAGCAGAGCAAAGAAGGGAGATGAGGCATCCTTTCAAGGCCTGTTCACTGAGGGCCGAGGTGAGGAGGCCATGTGCACCTATAGTTATCTCTTTCCCTCAACACCGCTTTCTTCATTCTGCCCTGGCTGTACCTCAGCCAGCTCATTCTGAGGAGGGAGGATTCCCTGGGTGGGGCTGAACTGGGCAGTTGTACTCTCAGTGTTTAGAATATGATGCTGTCTATACTTGTATCAGGCATGAGTTATCCACCCAGTGATGGTACTTTGTGTTTTGTTTTGTTTTGTTTTAATTATATTTTATTATGCTACTACAGTTGTCCTGATTTTCCCTTTTTGCCTCCCTCCACTCAGTGCCCCCTGAGCACTGAGTCAGGCAGTGCCCCCACCATTGTTCATATCCACAGGTCATGCATATAGGTTCTTTGGCTCCTCCCTTTCCTGTACTGTTCTTTACATCCCAATGACTGTTCTGTAATTACCTATTTGTACTTCTTAATCCCCTCCCCTCTTCACCCATTCTCCCCCCTCCTGCTCCCAGTAACTAACTACTTTTCTCTTGCTTTTAAGAGTCTCTCTTTAGCTTTAACCTTTGGCCTTTTAATAATGATGTGTCTTGGAGTGGGCCTCCTTGCATCCATCATAATTGGAACTCTGCACTTCCTTCACCAAATTAGGGAAGTTTTCTTTCACTGTTTTTCTTATAGATTTCTAATTTATTGCCCTTTCTCTTCTCCTTCTGGCACCCCTATGAGGTGAATATTAGACCTCTTAAAGTTGTTTGTCCCAGAGGCTGTTTATACTGTCCTCGTTGTTTTTGGATTCTTTTTTCTTCTTCTTGTTCTGTGTGGTTCTTTTTTGCTTCCATATGTTCCAAGTCATTGATTTGATTCTCAACTTCATGCACTCTGCTGTTGTTTCCTTGTAAATTGTTCTTTAATTAGTGTATCCTATGTTTCTGACTGGGACTTTTTTATGCTGCTGTGGTCCTCACTGAGTTTGTTGAGCATCCTTATAAACAGTGTTTTCAGCTGTGCATCTGATTGCTCATCTCCATTTCATTTAGCTCTCTTTCTGGAGTTTTGGCCTGTTCTTTCATTTAAGCCATGTTTTTTTTGTCATGTTGTCTTGGCAGCCTCCCTGTGTTTGTTTCTGTGTACTGGGAAGATCTTCTTTGACTCTGTGTCTTTTTAGTGTGGCCTAATATAGTAGGTGTCCTCTGGGGTCCTGTGGCACAGCTTCCCCATCACCCAAGCTGGGTACTCAAGTTGCACCCTCTGTGTGGGCTGAGCACAGCCTCCCCTTGTAGTTGAGCCTTGGTTGCTGTTGGCAGATCAATGGGAGGGATTTACCCAGGCCAGCCAGCTGCAAGGACTGGCTGTGACCACTGACCACCAACCTCTGCCTTACATGGAGGATCAGCTGTGCAGGGGGCAGGTCTGTAGCTGCCCATGGGGTGCGTTGGCCCAGAGGCTTCCCCGGGTGGTGCAGACCAAGGTCAGCCCTCACACGTGTTTTGCCCAGGGCACCCTGCCTTAGCTGTAAAGCCTTGTGAGATGGCTGCTTCTTGTGCTGGGCTTGGAGATTCTCAGGTGAGGCCAAGCTGTGACTCTAATCTGGCTGCTACTTGGGCTCACTGATGCCAACTTTGGCTTGTTTGATAGGATTTAGGAGCCAAGACCAGCCATTCTTGTAGGAAACAGCTTGGGTGAGCCCTTAATTTGGGTGAGGTAGAGTCTCCGTGGTTCTCCAAGGTGGGTCACACTGTATTAGCCAGGTTGATGGAGTCTCAGATATGGCACCAGCCTACTGGCTTTGAGCTCAGCAAAGGGATAATGGCCTCTGCTCACCTTCATGCCACATTTCAGTCTCTCCCTGGTACCCTTCAAGCTGCCCCCAGCCCAGTGCTAGAGCTCAGAGGGAGTGAGTCTGAGTAGGTGAGACTGTGTTTGGATTCCCCAGGAGGAACTGCTTAGGGCTCCAGCAGTCTCCTCCACCAACTCAGTCCCTACTGATTTTCACAGTCAGAAGTTGTGGGGACTTATCTTCCTAGCATTGGAATCTTGGGCTAGGAGCCTAGTGTGGGTCTGGGACTCCTCATTCCTAAGATATACCTCCTGAATTTTTTTTAAAGATTTTATTTATTTTTAGAGAAAGGGGAAGGGAGGGAGAAAGAGATACATCAATTTGTGGTTGCTTGGAGCATCTCCTTCTGGGGAACTGTCGCACAACCCAGGCATATGCCCTGACTGGGAATTGAACCAGAGAGCCTTTGGTTGCAGGCTGGCTCTCAGTCCACTGAGCCACACCAGGCAGGGCGTCCCTCCTGAGTTTTTATCTACATTGGTCTGGGGCCAGCCTGTTCCACATTGGTGTCCATGCTTGCTCCCCTCCTACCAGTCTGGATGGATATGGTTTCTTCAATTTCATAGATGTCAGACTTTCATTCAACTCAATTTCTGATATTCCTGAGTGATGGTTGTTTTTGTTGTAATTCTGATGTGGTTGTTTGAAGAGATGAGCCATGTCTGCCTGCATTGCCATCTTGACCGGAAACTCCTCCAATTATATTTTTCAGTACTTTGTTTTATTAAGACTTTATCAGTTCCTGTGTGTAGATGGTCCCTTGAGCAGGCAGGAGTTAGGCCTGGGGAAGCAGAGAGTGAGGATACACACCCAGCAAGAGAGTAGTAGTAGCAGGTGTTCCCATGGCTTTCTGGATGTCGGATCCCTGTAGTTGCAGTCATGTGGTACTTGAGTGTTTTTGGATGTCAGAACTGAGATAACCTCATGGGTTTTCTAGTTCCTCTCTCTGTGTACAGGTGAGAGACCCAGGCCCAGAGTGTATTTATAGCCTATGTTGGATTGCCCTGCCAGTGAGCAGTTGAGCTAGGACCCAACCTAAAGTTACCTAAACCCTCCCTGGCTGGCTGGCTCAGTGGATTGATTGCTGGCCTGTGAACCAAAGGGTCGCGTGTTCAATTCCCTGTCAAAGCACATGCCTAGATTGTGGGTCAGGTCCCCGGTGGGGGGCACGAGAGAGACAACCACACATCAATCTTTCTCTCCCTGTCTTTCTCTCTCCCTTCCCTTTCTCTAAAAAATAAACAAAATCTTTTAAAAAAATAATTTACCTAAACCCCAGGCTTGAGTATTTTCTTCAAGGTCATGCCAGTGCTGAAATTTGGTTGCTACAAATTAGTTCCAACTCTGCCTCACTGTGGAGTTTAAAGAGTAAAATTTAAATCTTGTCATTAGACATTTAATGCTTGCTAATTGCCAGGACTTCTGTTAAGCGCTGGAGATGCAGAAATGAGTAAGACAGTGGCCCCTGCCCTCATATTGGTCCACCATATTGTGTAGACAGACATGTAAAGAACTCAAATAGACTAAGTCCATTTGCTTATGCAGTGTGCAGAGGTATGTGTGTGTTTGCATATGCAAATCAGAGATAATCAGAGATGAGGAAACAGTCAGTTCTTCAGCCTTTCCAGAAAGGCTTTGGAGAGAAAGTGTGACTTGCTCTGGGCCTTTACATAGTTGGCATGGATGGGGA